AAGATAGCCTGCAACAATTGGAAAATAACTGAAATCCATTTCACTTGCAATTTAACTCGGTGATGTATACATAGAGATAAATGATCCAAACAAGAGTAACCATAAGATACTTTCATATATACTTTATTATATGCGACCCTACTAAGCGCTGATCAATTATTTTTTGAATTTGAACAATATCAGTAAATTGCATTATGTATCCCAGAACAAGAGTGGACAATTTGCTGTGCAATCTATTTACTATTCAGAGCAAGACTTGTACCCAAAAGAACCAGATCAGATACCAAAAGTATCAACTCATTGGTGTCATTAATTCAAAAAATATGGGCGTGTAATTGTCCACAAAATCACCTAAAAAATTATTACAAGTGGTGCTGAAATCTGTTTTCAAAAATGGTAAGCAAACAATACAAAGATAGTCCTGAAAAATGTTTTGCACATTACAGAAAATAATCATATATGAATTCTATTAGTAAAAGCAACAGAGCATCACGCTCTGAGATCCTAAAATTGGAATGACTAACCATGATATTTTCGTGAGAATTTAAAATACCCCATAGTTTCGTACTCTGCTAGCTTGAACTTCAAACAAACATGCTATGCACCAATTGAAAGAACCAGATCACTTAGATCAAAATGTTATCCACATTTCGAAACAACACAACAGCTTAGAAGATCTCCTTTTTAAAAGAAAAAAAGAATCATCCAACACATGTCCTGCAGTGTGCAAGTGTATAACAACTACATGGCAAATATGCAATAATTTAGGAAATAAAGGATTAATTTTAGACCTTTATTTTGTGTAGCGAATATCCAGCTCGCATGTCCATAAGAAGAAAGCAACAAATATATCTAGGGATTCTATATATCCATGGGGGCGCTCTGAGATCTAAATGGGCCATTAAGCAACATCACAAAAGCTTGCACAAAACTCTACAAACCCTAGTATGTTTTCACTACAATTTATGAGGTAAACTCCTGGAATTGAGGTGTCAAAAGAAAGAAAAATTCTTCCAATTCATTTCCCTAAGAAAAATTCTTCTGACTGATATAAAACCATAGGTTTATGCGACCTGATCTCTGAAATTTGAATACATACTAATTAGATATCATAAAATTATTACAAAAATATTACTACTTACCAATAAAGAATACTCCTCGGTAATGTCATGGTCCACACCCACCAAGCCCAGAGCTCCTAGCAGGCCCGAGCGCGCTACTTCTCTTTGATGTCTGGCGCAACCTTGTCGCCTTCGGCTGTGGGGTTGCCGCTGGCTTGCATCCCCGAGTAAGCTTCCAGCTTGTTTTTCTGCTCCACAATTTTGCATAAAACTGAATAGCTTGGAACCTATGAGCTCAGAAATTGCTTATATGTATCATCAATGAGCCAAATCCACCTTCTGAATCGACATTAGTTATCAAACCTTGAGGTGCAGCCATGATAGGCTCGATAAAAGATTTAGTGTATGAGATAGAGCCTCTGCCAATATTTTAGAAAAGAAAGAGAGGCATGATACACATAGTGCATGAATCTAAACATATATAACCACCTCCCAAAAAAACATATATTAGCACCATGGTCGAACCGTGTTTATAAAAAGAGTCTTATTTTTCTTTAAAATGGGAGTCCTATTTAGCGCATATAGAATTATTGATATCCTTGATAGTCTGAACCATAATAATCTCTTTATGTTTAAGAATATACGGGATTTGCTTTTATATGAACTAAAATGCTATTGAAGGCCCACAAGTTCAAGCAAAGATCAACCGTGATGCATTGCCTTACCCTTTCACAATGCATAGCTCACCATTTAGCGAACACGTCTTCACGCTGGAGTGAGCAGCAAGGTACTGAGGTGAAATACTAACATCTTCCGGAATAATTCAAGAAGTGCATTCTAGAAAATTGCAGTAAGAAGCTCTATGCAATGCACAGACGTTGTGGATGACCTTCTGGATAGAACATAGTGTTTCTGGCGACCTACAATAGTCCAGCAAAGTCTACTACCAAATGATTATATCATATTATGCGAATTACATTACATCATTAAGATTATTAATTAGCAGCGCAACCATGAAAAGATCTCAAATAAAATTACATGTGGTAATTAAAAGAAGCATAGAGAAAACCTCAACCAGCCTCACCGCGCTCTAGCGCTGCCGTCGACGTTGTTCACCGTACGATCTACCGCTCAGGTCATTATGCCCTAAACGCGCCAACACCGTCCATCAGTAAAGCACTACCCACAAGCAGAGAGAAAGAGGATATGATTACACACTAATATTGCAGAGCTTTGGCTAGTTATGACCAGATCATAAGATGCCTTCAAATAACCGCATTCCAGCAATCAGTAACTTGAATGGAAACATCACAGTTGCAGGCTAAAAAAGAATGACATTGTTGCTCCAATGGAAAAAAAATTCATATACCATCATAACTCAAGATAACGGGATTAACAAGACTGAAGGTTTTACCATAGAAAGATCATGGGAATCGTTGTTATGATGCCAAAAAAAGTTCAGCAAGAGAATGTGGTTCATGAAGCCTTCTGTGTCCTTGAACATCCAGTATGACTCATCGCTCAAGAGAACCTAGTGAGAAACTGAAACTAATAAAAATCAACAAGCTAGACAAGGGGCTGGACAATGTGTAGAAATATAGGTAGAAATTCATTTGTTTTGTCATGCTATTGTTTCCATTCGGTTCCTTCGATGTGGAGATCATGAATCACGAATATAATTCCATTCTGATCACCACAATTGCGTGTGCGCAGTAGGACGGAACAGGGGTATAATAATATCGCACCTTGTGGAGGAGTGAAGCAGATCAATGAGTAGCAAATGGGCTTCAAATATGGACAAAACATATGTTGGAATCGACCCCTGGTTGGTCGGAAAAGACATGTTGATTGTCATCAGTATAAGACCCACAGCTACTGTCAAAGATTTGCCAAATCAACCTGAACACCAAATACAGACACTTGACTTGATCAGCAGCAGAGTTATGAATGCAAGTTATCTTAGCACTTGCTTACTGAAGCTAAACTCTATTGCCTGGAGGGAAGAAGAGTTCGTATAGTCATACATGTACAGGAATTATCTTCCAAATCTGCTTGTTTGCATAGACCCAATTAGATTTCCCGGAAGCTCGCACCCAGATTTTGTTATCCACATCGGTTGATCCTTGCATACTACCCCTCACGGTTGATGCGATGAATTTGAGACCTAGTATGCAATTACAATAGGTGGAATCATTTAAATTACTTGTTTCACATATGACGCAAAGCGATAAATATCAAAACATACGAGCATCATGCTTATATAAAACGACAAGTAAATCACACGAGTAAGTAGGACTGTAGGAGGTACCTAAAACAGCTAGTAAATCACACACGTATCCTTTAATGACACAGGAGGTGGTACCATAACTACGACGTGAGAGTTATGGTCATCTTAATTCACATCGGAAAATGACTAAATATCTCTACTTCAGTGAAGATGCAATCCTACGTATAATCTAGAGTTATGGTCACTGTCGTACAGTGGTGCAATTATGTACTCCACTAACTACCACTTCATTAATAGAGTTACAGTTTTTATTCAGTAAAATATTGGTTGTACTAAAAAGGAGTAATCAATAAAAATAAAGATTAATCCCACTCCTAGCAGAGCTAAAAGAGAGTAAATTCAGAAATATCAACTTATAATGCACAATTTATCACGGATCCATCCTAAATGGCCATCTAATAAGCAACATATGTTTGCCCAAACTTTATGTTGCAACGTCCCAAATTGCCATTATATAGTACCAATAATGAGGGATGAGAAAATAAAGAATGAAGTCATGGAAATACCTCAAGTAAATAATCCAAAATATTATTCTGTATTCCTTCTCGAGAAACTGGCTTCTTCTTCAATTAAAAAAAATCATATTTCTTATTCAGTTGGAGCGTTCGCAATAGTAGAACTTTCTTCAGGATTATTTGTAGAGATGTACGGACTTTCTTTATCTACAGATTAATAGGCTAAAACACCAACACCATGATTTTCAGACCCTGCCAACTCTATAATTCTATAAGATCCAATACCTGCTAGATTGTTCCACAACACCAATGTCCAAGTCAATACCATATATTATCCACTGAAATGTCTGATTTAATATCCTATGCAAAAACATTAGAGCAATGTGCTCTCCTTTACCCATATTGTGTACCATAGAACATTATGGACATTAGGGGAGGATTAGCCTGCAGCTATTTTATATCATGCACCAAATACTTGTAGTTTTCCTAAATTAGGGAGAAGAACAAGGTTGAAATCCGCAAGAGTCGTATAGAAATTTCTACAATCAATATCATACCTGATCCATGTACGGCAGCCTCTAAATAAGCAACATAAGTCCACAGTCCATAAGTATGTAGGCTACGCTCCAATTTGATGTATCATGCAATTTTGCAATACTCGGATAGTTTTGTAAAGCATACAGATACTGCATTGGAGGGCTATAAGCTTCATTAATCTGAAAATATGTACACCGCAGCTGAGATCGTAACTTAGTGACACAACACATGGTATGATAGCTAAAGGAGAGGCTATCAATTGTCATTTTTTTGCACTGATGTGCCAGTAGAAAAACACTATTGATTCGATTTGATGTGTGAAGTCACCTGTCGACTCGGCTTGCCATTGATGCTGCACCTATTCCCTGGCTTCCTGAAATAAAATTTCCCAGCGTCGGATCAGTTCAAAGAAAAGGCAGATAGAAAAACCAACAGAGAGAAGAGCCCATCTGAATGTGACCACTTGCCTTGCCGAGAGCATTGAGCTTCCCTAGCACCAGCACGGGAGAGGCCGACAAGGAGGGCCTCCTCTTGGGGGAGGCAGTTGTGCTGCCGACGCCGGCCGTCGGAGACCAGCAAGGAGGGCTCCTTCTCCCTGGGCCTCCTGCTCATGGTGCGTGAGCCGTGCAGCTCATCGAGCTCTTCTCCTGCACATACAGTTTAAGCTTCAATTCAAATCAGCTTCAGAAGCTGCAAGACATAACATGTTCAGTTCAGGTGTGCAGAGTACATACAGGTGGAACCGGCCCTTTGGGATCTTGTTCTATGGAGGAGGAGGTGGGTTGCCCTGTCGGCGACGAAGCTCCAGCCGTGTGTCACCAGCCTGGGCATGATGGTGGTGCTCTTCTTGACCAACGCCGAGCTCCGTGCTGGCGAGGGCTGCTCCTTGACGGGCGTCTTCTCCTCGAAGTTGAGCGCGATGGGCCTGACAACCTTGGGTGATGCGAGCACCCCGGCATCGCCGGCGCTGCTATGCTTCTCGGCCCCATGAGCCCCTCTGCGGCACGGCCTCCTTCTTGGCAGGCTCGGGCGTGCCGACAACGAGCGGGTGGTGCCTCGGGATGTGCGTGGTGCCGACCACGATGTGGACGGGGGGACCCCGGGTCGAGGCGGCGACTCCGCTTCTGGACGGTTGGTGTCGTCGCGGAGGAGCGGCCGTGCGGGAGGACCGGAGGAGGTGGGGACTGGGGAGCGGAGTGTAGAGAGGCCGGCGGCGGAGACGTCTGGACGCAACGTGCTACCCCTCATCTCTTCCCTCATGCGGCGGCTAGGGTTTGCGGAGGGAGGGTGTGCGTTGCCTCGCTCCATCACTCATGGGTTTTTTCTCGTTGGTTTTCTTTCGTAGGTTTTCTTTTGTAGGTTTTTTTAACTTGCAAGCCTCGCTCGCTACCTGAGGCATCGCTACCTCCACGGGGGGCATCATTCGACGGTCCAGGAGAAAATCGTTGGGAGGTGGGAGGTGGGAGGAGGTACCAAAATAGGTACCAAAAAAACCGGATGAGGTGGGACGAAAATAAAACCCGGAACACGACCTACCAACTGAGACATTAGGAGTAGAGACTAGCTTCACATGCTTTGCGTGTCGTGTGGGTGTTTTTACTGTAGCCATACTGTACTACGTAACCAGCACCTCGAATCCTCGATACTAGTAGTACTATATAGTACTAACTAGTAGGAGTAGTAGGGTGGCATGGGCCAGAACAAGCATTCCCGTCCAGGAGTACGGCACACGCCACCAGCATGACTTCCATCTGACATCATATTTCTTGGAGTCTATGCTAGAGCAATCTCTTCAACCTCATTGTTTCTCTAACTCAACCATCACGCGGCGGGCGAGGTGGGGGTTTGCCGATAGTCCGTTTCCTTAACTGCGGTCCCACTTGTAAGGCCAACTGCAACGCACGACCCCAAACGGACCTCCGTTTTGCACGAACTCCAACGATAATTTTGACTAGAAAAGCAAGACCAAAGAAGACAAGAACCACAAGAATACATTTTACTACTCCTGTAAGTTGGATTAGTGCCTTCTTGATGCATTCATTGTTGATCTGCGGAGGCTCGATCTTGCATGCTTCTTTCTTCTTCGAGTGTAAAGAAGTAGACGTTGCTTCCTCGCATCTAGTCTCATGTCTAGCCTCTATTCTAGTACTCCCTTCGGTCCGTTTTTCTCCGCGTCTAAGCAGCAACACGTATACCAAGTAGGAGTATCAACAAGTGCACTAATCTCATCTATAGCATCTGTGCTAGCTAAAAGTGATAGAACATCTACTAAATTGCGCTCTATCAATATATGGATGTACTCTTCTTCCCAATACAAAAACTTGCATTCATTCTACTCCCTCCGTTGCACAATACATGCCTTCTATTTGTCAAAATATATATGTATCTAGACATGTTTTAGTATATAGGCACATCCATTTTTTGGACAAATGGAAGTCAAGTATTTTGGAACGGAGGGAGTACACAATAAATTTTTTAAGTTAGCACAACTAGTCTAATCCGAGAGCACAACCGAAGATTTGGTCGGGTTCTTCCTCCTTTTGCCGACACATGGGACATCCAGCATCCAGGTCGTGTCATGAAAGAAAATAGAGTGGTAGTTGATAAGTTGAAGCCACGAGATGTGCATCTTGGGTTAAACTGTAAATAGAATCTTACTACTCGTGAATAACTCCAAAAGCGGCCACCAAAGGTCTTTCTTGGATTTGTTTTTCATCACCAGCATGTCGAGGTGAAAGATGTGCAGGTTCAGTGGGTCCGCTTGCGTTTTCACTGACATGTGGGACCGCATGTGAGCAAACAGACGATAGGCTCCGCGCGTCCGTTAGCTGGCTGAGAAGAGAGATAGAGGAGTGATGAGCACGGACTGCAGGAAATTTGTTCTACGTACGGTACCTCGATATAGGCTTGATATAGTGGGGTGGCATGGGCCATAACTAGCATTCACGTTTAGCACTACGGCACACGCCACCCACACGAGTCCCATCCGACACCAATTTTCTTGAGTCCGTGCTACAACCATCTCTTCTCCCTCCTATTTTCTCAGCCATCGCGCGGTGGGCGGGGTGGGGGTTTGCCGATAGTCGGTTTTCTCAACTATGGTCCCACTTGTAAGTGAAAATGCAACACCGCATGCATTCCCGCTTGAGCGGCGTGCCGGACCAACCGTGTGGGGGTGCAACGCGAACACGGCAGCCTTTTTCTTTTGAACTCGTAACTTGTAAAATTTGGTTCTACTCCATGGCGCGATCGATAGATAGAAAATAACAATTTTGCCTAAAGTAATGAGAAGTTTGGTTCTAGCGCCATTCATGCATGGAGTACGTACGAAAATTATGAAGTTGATGCGAAAGGTAAGATAATTACTGTAGTATCATATACTACTACATGGATTTGACGGAAAGATAAAAATACATACGGATCCATCAACGACATCCTCACGCCCTAGTGCGCCGGGTCAGCAACCGACGTGTGAGGAGCAGCGGCGTTGGCGGCGAGCTCAACGTGCTTCTGAACAGTGCGTCCAAGGTTGCCCTACGGTCCAAGAAGGCCAGCGTCCTATCGTCCTCCTCTTGCATGCGCGTAGACGTGGGTGATTATGTCCATTGTGTCTTGCTGCGCCAGGCGCTGCGCGGTGAGCGCGACCATTGCGTCACCATAGTGGCCGTTGAGGGTGGCGGGCATCGCAGAGCCTGGGCGCGTCGGCTGAAGGCTTACGTCAAAGTCATCCGCGAGCTTCTTGACGACGGTGAACTTGTCGAGGAAACCGATGAGGACCTCGTCGAACAAGGAGACGAAGTCGTCGTCCAAGCGGCCCCTCGCCCTGCCGGCCTCAAGCAATACTACTTGGAGACGTTTCTCGTTGCCGGGCCGCAGGCCGGCGTCGTGGACCATCTGGCACAGCCGGCTGATGCTCGCGCTCAACGCCTCCATGGGTCTACCTTAACTTCTACTAGTCAACTGATCTTGCGATTCGAGTGATCACTCTTGCCCTTGGTTAGCGTGCGTAGGTGCGTAGGATTTCGTACTACTCCTCGGCCCTCTACTGCAGCTGCCTTTGGCTGTATGATAGGTGGGCCAGCCACCCCCTGGGCCCACGTGTCATTCACCCAAAGGCAGTTGCCGTAAGTCAATGAAGCTGCGCCCCCTCCGTGTTGGTGCAGTATAGTCATCGCCCCGAACCTCTAGTTGGGGCCAAACGAGAGAAGTTTGATGTTTACTGGTTTATTGGTCCCCTTTTCATTTTGCGCCAAGTTTTGACCTTTGATTTAACTAATAAAATGTTAATGCATGTAAACAAAAATGTTGTGTAAGTCACATTACGAAAACCAAATAATCCCAAAACACTTAGGCACGGTGCATTAACTCCCTCCTTGTTTCTTATTTCGTGACATATCAACCAATGAGAGATGTGGGCCGTGCATGCTTTCAATGACTCGAGACTACCAAACATGACATGCAGTGTTTAGTTGCATGTAATCATATTAAGACTCTAGTTAGCAAGAAAACATTAAGTTCTCTCGCCGATAGGAATAAAACACCATGTATTTATTTACAGAGGGAGTAGTACATTTTTTGTGACATGCATTACTAGATATTGCTAGTCAAATACTAAAATCCAGCTAGACATGGTAGTACTCCTAAATCCAGATGGTGGTGCTACTAGTACTAGTAGTAGTACTACCAATGTAGTACTCCTAGGAGTACTAGCACTGTACTACCCGTTGGTCAAATTATTACGTGCTGCTCCTCACAGTGAAGTGACAAGACCCTGCGCCGAAGATGACACCTGAGTATAGCCGCCGTGTTCGGCATACCATAGTCATTCTCACCGTCTGCAGTCACTATCATCATGGCTGTAGAGCTAGCCTGCTTACAACTAGCCCTGTTCGACATAATTTCCCGTGCGTAGATGCCCGTGCATTGCACGGAACACCAAGATTGGGGGTGGACTGCTCCGGCAGCGGCCCTAGCACCAGATTTTTCCACGGCCTTCTAGATGTGGTGGGGAGGAGATAAGGCTGATTGTGAGAGACAAGGAGTTGTTTGTAAATAGGGAACAAGTGCAGGCATCTTTTTGCAAAAATGGAGAAGCTTGGTTTGTATGCGTCAGATCTAGATCTGACGGCTACTGGTGAAAGATGGGAGGCACAACATCATCACCAACTCAGGACCTGTTTGATTCGCAGGATTTTGAAAACGCAGGAATAGGACACAGCAATATTACAAGTTTCAAACTGATATTACAAATGTTAGGAGTAATGCTGCACCTAGGAAGAGGGAATTGCTAGGAAGTTCACGTAAGAACTTTCGTTACTTTAGGTGGATGCAGCGTTATCGTACAAACTAAAATTCACCGCCCTGACAAGTCACTAATGTGCAAATAAGTTTTTGAGTCTCTGGCCACTTGATGTTTCAAAAACAAATTCAGCTTCTGCGAAGACTTTGTCATTTAGGCTTAGACGCTTGCGGTGATCAGCACGCCATTCATTGTTGCGCCAGAGAACGCCAAACCTCATTACCTTGAGCACACTTGCCTCCAGAACAAAGAACCTGGCCAATTTAATCTCAGATGTGCTGCCTCGGTAGTCGATCAAATCAATGTCTGTAAGATGGAGATCAAGGCATTCGATGAGATTGTTATAGTGCAGCACATTTTTCACTCTCGGGTCTTTTTTTATCTGCAAAAGAAGAGAACATATTAGAGCAGCTGGCTGCATAAGATTGCCATGTCATCAAGAGGTACCAATATCATTCGCTCATACGATAGGGTTGGCTGGCTATTGATATTTTTTCACTCTCTCTCTCTCTCTCCCTCTCTCTCTCTCTGTTTCTATTTCCTCTCATTTAAGTAGGAGCACGTGAAGAGCTTGGGCATTTGTTGCCTTCCACTATGTGGCCGATGCCATATTTCGCAAAAGTATGCCACATAATAAGCATCGATGTCAAATCAAAAGATTTTGGCAGCGCTCTCGCGATGTGAGAGAGTTGGCACCGTTGTGCACACAGACCAACATGTATAAACAAATCAATCAAACCAACTACACCAGCCTCTCACTCTCCCAAACAAGTGTTTTTTATTGCCTCAGTCCTCTCTCTCTCTCCCATGCAGTGTTTTTTCATTGCGTGAGTTAATTTGGCACCGGAGCAAAGTAGGTGCTCCAGATTGGGGCACCAGGTGAGCAATGGAGGGGCATCGATGCCAAATGCATCACAAGTGAATTTTGGCACATGTTTTGGCCTACATAGCCCACTTTTGTACTCCCTCCGTCCCAAAATTCTTGTCTTAAATTTGTCTAAATACGGATGTATCTAGTTACATTTTAGTGTTAGATACATCCATATCTAAACAAATGTAAGATAAGAATTTTGGGACGGAGGGAATACTACCTCGTATTTAGTATAAAATTTTGACCATAGATTTACCTAAGAAAATGCCAATGCATGTCACTAAAAATTTCACCATTTGAAATTATGTTCAAATACAAATCCAACGATATAGTTCTTAGTGACATGCATTAATATTTTGTCAGTTAAATCTATGGTCAAATTTTGATACTACAAAGTTGTAAGAGTAAACCAGGACGGAGGTAGTACTTGCCCTTAGCGTAACCATAGAGTTACTGGAGTAGTCTAAGTTACTTTCCACTATGACTAGCCTAGGCTACTATAGTAGTACAGCATAAAAATGATGCAGGTGATCACGTGAGAAAAAATACTAAAAACATTTCTTTCAGTGCAGTGCGTAGATGTAGATTTGAACACTACACTTGTCATCGTAATTTGGGAAAATTATGAAAAAATTGAGCTACGTTGTGATTACTGTTTACTAATAGGAAAGAAGTTTCACCTTGATGAGTAGCTTCTCCGTGCATGGAAAGCATGTAAGGAATCCAACAACTTGATCCAGATTGGGGCCGATAGATTTTAGTGCTAAGATCTTCACTGTGCGCATGGACTGGGTCAAGCTTGTGGGAATTATTTTCTGGAAGACGGTCATAAATACATCAAGAAGAAATTTAAAAATGTGAATTTCAAGAAGACGGAGAAGAAGACGAGTGTTGTACCTGAACGATTACGGATCCAATAAAGAGTTCGGAGAATTTGGCAGACGAGTACACCAACGCTGTCAATTTCGGCGTGTCAATGACCTTGATTTTTGTTGGACCTTCTAGATCCGATACAAGCAATCTCTCAAGGAAAGGCGCATTCTCAATGACCATAACATGGAATAGCTGGAGTGATCTCTTCCCAATTGATGTCTTGTTGCGGGGCCAGCAAGACACATAAATCCATTGGAGATTCGTCGAGGCGATGTGGAGGCTAATGAACCCGTGGATCTGCTCAAGACGAAGGTACTCGAGCGCAGTATAGCTGTAGAGTAGGTGCTCCATAGGCTTCTTCGAGATGACAATGTCAAAGAAGTCGATCTGCTTGAGTTGAGGGAGAAGAAGGGCGGGCGTGACATTAATCTGGGGAAGATAGCAGGAGCTGAAACTGGCGCGGCACAGTGTTGGCGTGAGGCGGAGCGTGGACGGCGGCAGAGAGCGACATCGTCCAGCTTCAAAGCTGAGCACCTCGAGCTGATCTAGGGCGGGGGATAAGAACCACTCGTCGAACTTGGGTTGGACCTTGCAATTGGTACTGAACATGCGGATGTCAAGGCGTCTGGCTGGCCCAGGGTGCGATGAAAGGATCTTGGAGACTGCGGCCATGCGTTTGCAATCCCCGTCATAGAGGCAGCTGTCGACGGTGAGGTTGAGGGGGACGCAACACCAGAGGGGGCGCCACCGCCGGGAGAGCAGGGCAGTCCACATGGCAGATTTGGTGGGGAGGAGGCCGATGATGATGAGCAGCATGTCGTCGGGGAGGCTGCTGATGAAATCCAGGCTCGCCGGATGAGGTTTTGGCTCGAGCGGCCTCTGCTTGTTGGCTGCCTCGGCGTCCATCTCAACCGGTGGCGACGCCGGTGTACACGTGTGCTGGTGTGTGTTGTGTGCTGGGTGTGCGCGAGTGCGTCCTTCTGTGCATGCCGTCGCGCAGTGGTGAATTGTGCGCGAGTACGTCCTTCGCGCGCAAGAAGTTTCTCCTTAATGTGCCCTCAATTTACTAGCGTGCGGGGTGCTACCCCGAGTGGTTTCAACTTTGTTTCCTTCACCGCGTGTCAGATGGGCCTCTATACAGAACACGAGCTGACAACGCAGCATGTGGATTGGTTGACCGGTCAACTAAACAATATACAGAGCTATACGCTGACACAGTGAGCGTATAATCCGTCGGTATAGAGAGTTCGAGTGAGAGGGGAGGCCCGTGAGAGATAGCAGAGAGAGAGAGAAAGAGCTACTCCCTCCGTTCGATAATGTAGTTACAACATTTTTTAAAGTCAAACTTTTGAAACTTTGACCAAGTTTATAAAGAAATTACTTATATCGGCAATACCAAAGATAAATGATAGTATGAAGTAAGTCCATGTTGTGATGAATCTAATGATCGTTCTAGATGTAAATGTTTTTCTCCACATATACCTAGTCAAACTTTTCTGAGGTTTGACTTTTTAAAACATCCATATGCTTATGGACGTGACAGAGTCCCTGATGAGAGAGAGAGAGAGAGTGAAAAAAGTGTGCATGCGTGTGTGAAAGAGACATGGACAACACACGATAAAAGTGGAGAAAAAGTGTGCGTGTCTTATGCAAACATATCACACATGCATCTTCGACAACGGAGGCAAGGTGAGGAGATAGTGTGTGGTTGTTTGGAACCAAGAGAGGAAGACCCCTAGCACGTGGCCAAGAGGGGTCGGACAAACAAGGGAGAGAGGTCGAGAAAGACATATGAAGAAAATGCAGATATGGGGAGGAGAGAGTGTATGTTTGTCATAAAGAGATCCCCTGGAGATCGTGATGGGACTACATGGGTGGGAGATCGAGTGACAAGGTGTGTGCGTGATAGAAGATGCCCCGAGAGATATCGAGATAGACGTATGGATGGAAGGAGACAATACGTGTGTTCCTGATGGCTAGTAAGAGATAATCATACTTAGGAGGGGGAGTGCTTGAGCCTATGGCCCTGTTTGGATACTCTAACTCAGTTAGAGGTTAGAGTTAGATTCTAACCCTGAACTAACTCTAAGTAAAGAGGTGTTTGGATGGCAGGGTTAGATGGAGCACAGATATGGCGAGGCACCTTCACGGGCGGTGCGAGAGGGAGGGAGGGAGAGGACGAGAAGCTTCGAGGAAGTGGGGAGGGATCTGTTGCGGGGAGAGAGAAAGAAAAAAGTGTTTATTAGTGGTCCCGAGAAGAACTAACCCAAATAAGCACCTCTTGGATGGGTTAGTTTTTTTGGATGGGTTAGATGCATCTAACCTAAACTAACCCTCCTGTTTGGATCTTTTTGGGTTAGTTGACTCCAAACTAGCCCAAACTAACTCTAACCCATGGATCCAAACAGAGCCTATGATGGAGTGAGGGATTATAGTACTTAGGGGGGTGCGTGTCACATGGAGAGAGAACAAGGGCGGAGTGTCTTGGATGGGTCTATATGTATAGCGCGAGCGAGACATGTGTATGTGTGAACCAGGGAGATATAAGGCCTGTTTGGCTTGCGTCATGAGCATCTTTTGCGTGGCCTGGGGTTGTGGCTGGATTTCATGCACGCTTGTTTCGTTGCTACCCTGTGAAAAAGAAAGCCCGCTTGGGTTGGGTTCCCTTGCACTTTAATTAGCCTGGCTGAACTCCAGACACTCCAAGTAGCATGGCCCAAGCGACCGATTTTGAACGCCTGGCCGTGCCTGGTCGTGCGGCCACGAGGCTAACAGCAACATGGATGGATATTAGCATTAAATAATTGATGCATGGATTTATTGATGGGACGTTGATGCTTTGCCTGGCCCAGGCATGAACCAAACGCTTCAGCACCACACAAGCCTGACCAGGCAGAAATATTTTACATCTCACGTCCACACCAGGCAGTACCGACCACAAGGCATGAGGGTCAGGTCATGAACCAAACTGACCAATAAAGTTTGAGAGAGATTGAGGAGCCCCGATAAGGCTGAGTGGTGCGTCAGATAGCTGAGATGGGGAAAGAGATATTCCATCCGCTCGATAATGCAGTGCATGTGAATTTTTTAGAAGTCAAACTTTGGAAACTTTGATCAGGTTTACGCAAATGTTATTTATATCTACCAAAGATACATCATACAAAGCTACATCTCATGGTGAATCTAATGGTATATGTTTGCCGTACTAGATGTAATTCTTTTTCTCCATGTACATGGTCAAACTTTGTGATGTTTGAATTTTCAATAAATCTATGTTCTATGGACGGAGGTGAGTGCCTCAGTCGAGATAGATCAAGTGCGTGTGAAGGAGAATGAGTAAGTGTGCAAAAAGAGTATGTGTGTGAAAGAGAAAGTGACAACAAATGATAAATTAGAGAGAGAGTGTGTTTTTTCGTTTCTTATGCGAACATATCACGCATGCATCTCCGAGATGGAAAAGCGAGGCGAGGAGATACACGAAGATAGCTAGTGTGCGATTGTTTGCAACGGAGAGAGACACCCCTGTAGCACATGTCCAATAGAGGTCTGGTGAAAGCACAAGTGCTCCCTAGGTGGTTTTGGTAATTAATGTCAACATATCTCTTGTTGGACTAACACTTTTATCTAGTATATTTTAGATAAGTTCAACATTGGAGTGGCATGGACTAAAGGATGTGGGAATTCCTTCAAGATGCTAAGGACAAAGGATTGGCTCAAGCTTCAAGCTCAAGACTCTTCATTTTATATTTTAGTGATCCAAGATCACATTGATTCTATAGGAAAAGCCAATACTATCAAGGAGGGATGAGGTGTTGCTTAATGAGCCTCTTGCTTCATGTGCTTTGTGATATGCTCCAAAAACCTCAACCACTTTCTCACATCCACATATGTCCTAAACCTAAAGTCAAACTCGGCCCCACTGATTCTTTCTATCCGGCGCCACCGAGTTTGGATGTCTTAGCCACTGCCACAAACCCTAGGCAAATCGGTCTCACCGATAGGGATCTCGGTCTCACCGAGATGGGATTGTAATCTCTCTGTGTATGTCCATTATCAAAATCGGTCTCACCGAGTTTGAGCAATCGGTACTACCGAGATTACAATGCAAACTTCCTGGTTGACTCATTACCAAAATCGGTCCCACTGAGTTTGATAATCGGTCCAACCGAGTTTGCCTGACCAACTCTCTAGAAAGCTTATTACCAAAATCGGTCCCACCGAGTTTGTGTAATCGGTCTTACCGAGATTACGTTATGCCCTAACCCTAACCATATCGGTCCTACCGAGTTGCATTCCGGTCCCACCGAAAACCCTAACGGTCACATTATTTGCTAAATCGGCCTGACCGAGTTTAACGATTCGGTCCCACCGAGTTTGGTAGATTGTGTGTAACGGTTAGATGTTGTGTGGAGGCTATATATACCCCTCCACCTCCTCTTCATTCGTGGAGAGAGCCATCAGACTGAACCTACACTTCCAGCATCCTATTTCTGAGAGAGAACTACCTACTCATGTGTTGAGGCCAAGATATTCCATTCCTACCATATGAATCTTGATCTCTAGCCTTCCCCAAGTTGCTTTCCACTCAAACCCTCTTTCCACCAGATCCAAATCCTATGAGAGAGAGTTGAGTGTTGGGGAGACTATCATTTGAAGCACAAGAGAAAGGAGTTCATCATCAACGCACCATTTGTTACTTCTTGGAGAGTGGTGTCTCCTAGATTGGCTAGGTGTCACTTGGGAGCCTCCGACAAAGATTGTGGAGTTAAACCAAGGAGTTTGTAAGGGCAAGGAGATCGCCTACTTCGTGAAGATCTACCACTAGTGAGGCAAGTCCTCCATGGGCGACGGCCATGGTGGGATAGACAAGGTTGCTTCTTCGTGGACCCTTCGTGGGTGGAGCCCTCCGTGGACTCGCGCAACCGTTACCCTTCGTGGGTTGAAGTCTCCATCAACGTGGATGTACGATAGCACCACCTATCGGAACCACGCCAAAAACATCCGTGTCTCCAATTGCGTTTGAATCCTCCAAACCCTTCCCTTTACATTCTTGCAAGTTGCATGCTTTACTTTCCGCTGCTCATATACTCTTTGCATGCTTTCTTGATATGTGTTGTGAATGTTAAACTTGTGCCTAAACTCTACTCAACTTTAAAGAAACCTAAAAACTGCAACTTTGGTACTTAGTGTCTAATCACCCCCCTCTAGACACCTCTTCTCAAGGTCCTACAAGTGGTATCAGAGCATTGGTCTCCATTGCTTTGGTTTAATCACCATTGGAGGAAGATGGATGAGTCTACTTTGGGGAGTCTTAGACATAGAGTGCCTATTCTTGATGGAGAGTATTTTCATGTGTGAAAAAAATGAGATGCTTGTAATTTTCAATCAATATCATTTGAACAAGTACATTGCTAGTCCTTGTGCACCTTGTGTTGATCCTATGCATCCTACCCTTGATGATTCAATTGACATGATTAGGAATGTTAGAACTGCCAAACTTATCATTAGAGGATTGCCTAGAAACATGATTGGATGTTTGCCTACTTTTAAGTGTGCCTACACCATATGGAGTAGAAACTCCATCGGATACATGCAAGACATGAGCTTATGACTAATCCTTGATATTTCTCTTATGATGAAAATCTTATGTCTTGGATATATTTGTATCTTGCATGTTATCTAACCCATGTAGGTACTTGGTTGAATCAAATTCCATGAGATTGTAACCTACTCACATCTTGAGCAATCTCTACATCACCAAGCCTCTACACAAA